CCCCAAAACCCCAAAACCCCAAAACCCCTTAACTGAATATTTACAATAAACATTAGTTATTTTAGATAATTTGATAATTTGATAATCTTCGTCAGTCTCTTAAACCCATTTGTGTTAACTTTTTCTAAGCTGCTTACATAACTATCATAGATGCTCCATTTCTGAAGAAAATACTTTGACTTCCAGCGAATATACCTCTATACATGCCCATAGGGCCATGTAATTTTAATATATTTTTTACTCTTTCTCTTATTGTATTTCCAAAGTGAACGTTTTCAGCTTAGATCTAGTTTTTCAAAAATTCCAGAGGCCAAATTAGCCAGAATGACATGCATGCAGCTGTCCCACTAGCCACAAATTAACCGAGTTTAGTTTCATATAACTTTGTGTTTCTTCGAGAAAAGTCTAATAAGATAAAGAAAGATGTGAGTAAGCCAGCATTTCTTACATTGATTATCATGTATCCTTTGTATATATGAGTAAATTGCCAGTTCTAACCTGTCTATCTATTTACTTTAGCATATTCAAAAGGACATTCCATTATTGATCGTGTAAATCCTGCCAGCAAACCTGCTGCAATGACCCTAGGTTCAAGTCCCATAGTGTAAGGAATTTACTTAGTCATTGTAGGATTATTTTAGTAGTAGGTATGAGTAGCATCTAGAATTGCAAACTGAGTACTTCTGTACATCATTGAGCCTAGAAAAGGTGGTACACAACCTCTATAGAAACCTATAAATCCCTCATTTTTATAAACTCCTTTGACAGTCTCTAAATATCCTCCATGATCGAAGAACTCTGTCTATGCTTGCATCTTTGTTTTGATTGTATCAAATGGATGACCCACTAACGTATTAGTTGCGCCATAAAGCACTCCAGTTATTAATGTAAATAGACCTTCTTTTTACCAAGATGATTTTTAATGATTATGTGACATTATAAATAATAATTAAATACAATTTTTAAAATTTAAACAGTAAAATGAACTTAAATGTGCTTCCAAACATTGCGTACTCAATGTGTCTGAATAAAGATTTTTATGATACTGAGAAAGCATTAGAAATTGAGGAGAAAAATTTCCAAAGAGAATTTGAGCAATAAGTTTATCCCTAAGATTAAGTTTATAAACCCTTAGGATTTGATTAAAGAGATGAGGAAGAGGAAGAAGAAGAGGAGGAAGATATTGATATGGGTAATTCAGATAGAGAATTTGATGATTATGCTGAAGAACTAGAGGGATCTGATACAGACCTGCACTAATGAAGACTTAATAAATGGATCTTAATGGTCATAAATTATGAAATTAAGCAAAGATTAACATTACAAATTTTTAATATAATTCAAATCACTTCTGTAAATAAACTGGTAGTTTCTATCCATTGTAGATCGATTTGTTAATTCTGAAATGTTTCGATCTTGATCCTAATCCAATAAAAGCCTAAGCTTTCTAAATTTTGACGTTATTTTCTCTCATATTTACCAGAATGTCTTGAATCTGTCTTCTTAACTAGGAATCTTCTAATTCATCTTGAGATATTTATTTTGAGAACTCGGCAATTTTTTCACTTTTATCTATTTAGACTATTGAGGTTTGTTTCGTATATATTCCCAAATTATTCTTTTTTTATTCTATACTAATTTTTGGACTTTCCATTGAAAATATTGGCTTTCTCTTTGGGCTTGTAGAGTTATGGGTGTTTATTTAAGAATATAGTTGATTTGATAGTGTATCATTTAGGTATTATTCCTTGATATCGATGACCTAATTAATAACTGGAGGTTAAGAAACTGATTTTTATGCAACTATAGGTAATGACAAATCAGCTAAATAATTTTTTGGAGAAGCTTGAATGTTTTTTTATTGTTTTTGTACATTATTATTATCTTTAATATCAATAGATTCATTATTTCGATTTTATCTGCTTGGATTATTTTATCTATTCTTAAATCTTGATCTTCTGAACTAAAATTAAGCAGACTCAGTTCCATTATTAGCAACATTCGAATTGACTTCGCTAGGAGTCTACTTAAAAAACATAGTGCAAAATGCTAAGTTGCTATTTTATTTATGCTATTAAGCTTGATACATGATTTTGATAGGTTCGTTTATCTAGGGCTATAAAGCTTTGTTATTTTTCTCATTGCTATTCTAAATTTTAACTGTATCATTATTCATGATCGGAAATAATGGATATTATTCTTTTATAAATACAGTTTAGTTTAGAGTAATCTATTCCTATATTTTACGGGATCGACTCACAGTTCCAGAATTTTTCTTAGTCTAATTCTGATTATAAGCTTTAATATCTATATTTTTAATATTAGTTTCCAAGTCACTCGTAGAATCGGTAATCTAAGATTATTACAATTAGGGAATATGCGCTACTAATCTAGGGGATTAATTAGTTCTTTTACTAGATAATTTATCATCCTAGGAAGTAGGCTTAGTTTGAGATACATTCTAGTAAAATGGTTATTTATGATTTATGCTCTTTTATTAACTTACAATTACTCCAAGTCTCTGATTTTGCTAGCTTTGTTGAATATTTTTTAATGTGTTTTATTACCTTTGTTTTAAGTCTCTAATTTAGATATTGTTATTAATCTGATCTTAATAATCTTTAGGTTCTGTTGCTATTTTCTTAGTTTAAAAAGGTTTTTTAACTTTATTGTCTATTTTAATGCTATCTTAAGAGATTTTTCTCACTGATATCTAAAATTTCATCTCTGGTTTAGGCATTGGAGAGTTTTAACCAAAATTGAACTCACTTTTTCCATCACTCTCGCTTTCTTGTCTCTGATAATTTTATTGCTTGGAGTTATTTTAGCCTGTTAACCTCATTTATTATTACAATTAATGAATATCTTAGTCACTATACAAGAACTTTTAGGCTACATAATAATTGTTCATGTTTTGATGATACTAAACATCAGCTGATGTTTTCATGCTCTACTTTACATTTTCATTAACACTATTTCTTTATACTAAAGGTCTTAGTTTAACTCTATTATTATTTTAACTTTATGCCATTTTAGGTGTTTACTAACCTGATTTGTAATCTTTCTCTTAGCTAAACCTCATAGGAATTTACGAATTTTGCACTGGTCGTCTAATTAAAGAATTATTATCAACACTAGTTTATGATTATTACAGACTGCTTTACTTATTACCATGTACAATAGAGGAGGATGTTGTAAATGAGTTCTATCCATCTATTTTTCTTCCAATTTTTTCAAACTAATCATTTCTTGATTCTAATCTTTCAGTAAGTGGTTCTTCACCTCTGCTAATTTGCTCAGCTACTTTTTAAATTTCGTTAACTGAAAAATAATTTCTCCAATCATACTCAGGCATATAATTTTCATCATCAGAAAATATTTAATCTGCTTAATTAAGTACCTCATTCAGTAAATTATTATCCATTTAAGATTACTCCATGAGATTTTAGTTTTTACTTTCAAAACTTTTTTTGTTTATTTTCTTTATGTTAACAGTGATATTTGGTCCTGATTATTACTTAATATGCTTAATTTTGATATTTAACTCTCCAACCGGCTCTTAAATTTCAATGTTAGCTTAAAAATCGATTCTTTCACTAGCTTAATTAATATTTTATCGGTTATTATAATTAGTGGGATTTCTATTTTTAGGAGTGTGAAAGCTCGTATTATAAGTCTATTTCAAAGGTGAATGCTCAATAAATTATTTTTCTGGATTTATCTATTGATTATTTGTTGGAGAATTAATATCGCTTAAAATGAGCTCGCTCTCTTTGTTTTAGTTTAATTATTATCCTAACTAGTCTAAGTCAATTTGAGATGAGGGCTATCTTTGATTAATAGAGGCTTTACTACTGTTTTTCATGCTGATCTAAATCTTCATAAAATCTTGGCTAAAGCCCCCTACTAAATTTTGTTGGGCTTGACTATTTTGCCCTTGATTTGATTATTGATAATTACAGGGCTAAGGAGCAAAAAAATTATCGAATTCTTTACTTGTATCATCGAGTTAATTAAAAAAAGGGTATTCATTTTCAGACATTTAATGGATAGATTACTTTCCTAAATCAAAGAACTGGGTATTTCTGTGATCTATTATCTTCTTATTATTGAAAGAATACTATATTTTTGATGATTATTATTTTTGGAATTGCTCAGTCTTACTCAATTCACCTGATATCTTTGTTTCAAATTGCTAAGTTCTTTTTTTCTTTTTTTAACCTGCTTACATTTGTTTTATCATCTAATAGTAATCATCATTTTTCATAAGGTCTTTGTATTAGTCAATATTGATTTTTCTTTCTTAAAGTAGTTTCAAATTTTGAGCCTACTTTTTCGCCAACTCTAATGCTGATTCTCCAGTTATTTATAACAGCTTATTGGGCCTTAGCCACCCATTAGATTACACTAAATCTTTTTCTAGTTGTTGTGCAACAATCTAAAATTCTAGCAAACTCATAACAAAATCTGATCCAAGTTGCAAATAATCAACCTTTGTATAGTTTTAAATCTTATTATCACTATCTGTATAGCCAAAAAATGAATTTTCAAAAGTAAAACTATTTGTTATTCCATATTCATCCCAAGCAACGACTCTTCCTGTTCCTAACTTGTCATCGGTAATCTTATAGTCACATTATGCTAAAGAAATTTTAGGATTTCTTTTCGCAATAATCCTAGGAAATAACCTTGTCTTTGTCCAACTAGTTATTCCTCCTTTTGATACTGTATTACATCCATAGAAAAATGAATTCAGTTTACCAGTATGGCAATGAAGATCACAAAAGATTAATATCTTACTGAAACTTAATGAATAATTTTGAAATGCGATATTCTAACTATTATTAATTTGGGTCATTACTTTTTTAAGACTGTTAATTTCTGGGTTCAAATCAGCATCTGGATTTAGCCATTGTCTATTCAAATCATAGCCTAGGACATTTACTCTGGAATTACCAAGTATAACTCCCTCCGGATTCATGCAAGGAATCAAGAGGAAGATAAATTTTTACCTAAGTTTAATGGCATCTGGCTCATCAGAGATGATGTATTTCAGCATAGCATTGAATAAAAATGAGACATGTGTTTCACCAGAATGAACTCTTGAGGTAATCACTATAAATTTTTTATACGGTGATCTTTCATCAGTATCAGTAACTCTTATTTATATGAGTGGTATTCCCAGAGTCGTATATGATAATATATCTCTTGAGTAAGTTATTTTTAGCTGTTCATTTCAAAACCTACAAATCATTGATTCTCAATTATCAATTTAAAATGCATCCTTCTCTATTCTTATTATCTTATCTACAATTTAACTGTATGTAATTGGGCGACAGTAAGCTAATTTAAACCTGGCTTTTCTATCTATATTAGGCCCAGTCTTAAATTTGAAGCTGAGCTGATAAAGTTCACGATCATTTTTGTAGAAAGGGTCTAATTGATAATCCTCCCCAATATTTTGCCATTTTTGATTTCCTTATTTAAGCCAAACTCTTTGTCCAATGTTTAGAAATTTAATGAATTTTGTAAAAGGAATAACTCTAAAAGTGTACTCCTTATTAGATTAAAAGTTGTAAATATGTGTGTAGAACCATTACATATGATTGCTTTTAATAGGATTATATTCACCTCTCATGATAAGAGTATAGTCATAGGTAGAATTCTAATATACTCTTTCAAGATTTCCTGATTCAATTAATGAATCAAACCTGAGTGTTGAATCATCGATCTAGAATTGTTTTTAAACTTAGCTAATGTTAAACTTGAGTGAATCTGTAAAATTTGTCTTGTCCAATTATGTTGTAATTCCAAGATTAGGGTATTTCTAGTCCTTCAAGCTTTTATTTAGCACAAATATTATATATTCTTTTACCATTTGGTTACTTTATAAATTCTCGATGGCGTAAATGAGTCTTGCTTTCTTGAAATCATTATAATCCAAATAGTTCATGAAATCATTCTCAAATATATATTTGCGTACAGAATGTTTCAAATTTTATTGGTAAATCTCTTTCGCTATTATATGAGAGACTTTGATAAGTTAACTATCACCACATTTTTAGCAAATCATATCTTTAAATGAGTGTGCTTCTTAACAATTTCTAAAGAACTTTACTCTCGCATTAAGACTATTGAGTCCCATGAGGTCATCTCTTATTAATGATCATTTTTACTTTATAACCAATGGTTCTCTGCCTTGATGTGCTTAAAGAATCGGTAAAGGCTGCATTATATCGAATATAGATGGAATCTTGTCATCTTTGCTATTATCTAGTGACTTTTAGCTCTAATTTTCTATTGTTGTAGAGACTGGTATATTAGTGGCTGATAAGTCCTCTTATTAGTCAGATATCATTTATTTACGAGATATAATTAACTGAAAATTGTTACATATTTTATTTCTAAATCAATCTTACATCAATTCATGCATATTAATCTTGTAGGGGTTTTGGGGTTTTGGGGTTTTGGGG